AGTTGGTGTGAATTGGTGGCACGGTGTTGCTGTGCGTTGCCGTGTGTTTCCTGTTGACAGCCTTGTTTCTTTGTTGCTGTGCCTACCTTTTTCGGCCCAAATGCAGGTGCTCATTCTTGACTTTCGGCCTGTCGTCTCCTTCAAACTTTCGAGTTGGAAGTTTTGGGGTTAGGATTTGGGGCTGCGGATAATGTAAGGATTGGGATTGGGGTTAGGGTTAGAGGTTGGGGCAACTATTTCTCAACCACTCGAAGTACAACCGCGCATTCCAATCGCTTTCCTTGTCGTACAATTATTTGACCTCGTTGCCTGTGTTTTCGCGGCCCAACCTATAAATAACTCTACTACCATCTGTCCCGTATTTCAGGTGACTGGGACCTGTTTACCTCAGGTGCGGCTAGATAACCACATCCGACTCATTCGTCATTACCGAACGGATTAATGTACTGGCATCTATCGACCAGATCAACACCGTCTTCCCGGACATACAAGTTAGGACGGAGAAAGAATAGAATGAGCAATGAACCAGGGCAGTAAATATTAGGCGTCAATTACTGAGACCGAAGGACATACTGGCACGACAGGGGATGTCTGAAGTCATTTGCTGAATCTGGTGCAGGCGTTGGCAAAACAACTACGTCAGGACAAGTAGAGTACTCGTTACGCGAATGGCCAAACACGCAGCAGCATTGGGGAGGGATGACGCCGGCCCATGTGTCACAGCTTATCCGACCATACACAAANCGCATCCGAATCACAGTTCGTACATGTTGAAACAGAAATTCATCAAATGCCATGTCTTATAGCATTAACTGTCATAAGGTCCCAGTTAATCCGAGGGGCATTGAAATCTCCTACAGTAATAATGTTTTGCTTTCGACCGTCCCCGCGAAGTCGTGTGATTAACGCTTGATCTTCGTCGGCAGGTTGATTTAGAGGCCTATATACAACGGTGATAGTAACGTTTTCGGCATTGGGGACCAGCAAATGACACTGCAGCATCTCCAGATCATGCTCATTTACACATAATTTAACAGTATTATATTCGACCGCATTGCTGATATATAGGGCAAATCCGCCACCTCGCTTTTTGGTTCGGTCTCGTCTTAGCACTTGATAACCATCTAAGTGCATTTGGGGATCTGTGACATCTGGGGGAGCCACGATTCAGTTAATGCAATAACATCAGCATATAGTTCGGTCACAATGATTCTAAGTTCGTCGAGTTTGTTCAAGAGGCTTTGTACATTTCCGTAGAAGAACTCAATTTAATGCAGGTTGTTGCGTCGAATTAGTTGCCCGGCCGTGTGGCCTTCGTTAGTATGACAGGCGTCCTCCACAGGAGGGGTCTTTGTCGTCGAACAATCACTCCGTTCATTATTTCTAGTCCTTTCTCTCCTTGTGCTTTCAAGGTCGCTAGCTCCGCCTTCAGCGCCCACCATTTCATTCTCTCTTGTACTGAGTAATCCGGTTAAAAAAAAGACCCCTACGGCCAGGGATCCCCCCTACTGTTCGTTCAAGTAGAAGATCCCTCTGGAGTTTACTTTCTAAAACTATCTTTAAAGGCCTTGGTTTCATCCCTTGAGAGCTCGCGCTATCTTTACTGTTTAGTCGGAAAAGTTTCAGAATCTTAATGGCTTCATCTTCTTTTATTAAGCTATCCAGGCACACTTGCAAGGTCATCATATCAACATTTATCCTACATCTTGGGTTATCGTTGGTTGATTCACGAAGTCCATGGACGAATATGCATTGTGATCTGTCCACAGCACCTCCATTCGACGAATTCCGTTGGATAATTGGTCTGACCGATGATGAGGCTTCCCCAAGTTGGGCTTCGACGCTAGTTGCAGGAATATTCGTAAGAGAATGTACTTCCACTCCCACTCTGGGTTCATTCTCATTCGGCCCTGTGTTGGTCAACGCTGCCCTCAAACCAGGCTCAGGAGGTGCGCATACTGTCAGGGGAGTAGTTTCCTCTTTTGTCGGTCTATCTTTATCATTTTCATCCTCGGCCCTCGATTTCCTTTCTGGCCAGTCTGACATCTTCGTCTTCGGATTTTTGCTACCTTTCTCCATGGTCTTTCCTGTCACCTTTTTCTCATTCTTTGCTGATTTTGGAGGTTTCACGTCACCACTGATAGCCGGCATCTGATACTGCTCATACTGGGTGTCTCGCGCTCTACTCCTTGTTACCCTGTGCGTAGATGCTGCCAACTTATCCTCCGTCAGAAAAGTCTGCTGGATAACATTCTTCATGTTTTTCACTTCCACCTCTAGTTGATCTAACTTTGAGGCTAGCGTTTGACAACCGCTGCAAGAGGTTTCCGCATGTGTCGGTCGTAAATAATTTGTAAGGCTTTTAGAGCGACCGCATGGGCGTGCGGCGGTGGCGCAGTGGTCTGCGTCGCTGTCTTCCACTAGTGTGGTCGCGGGTTCGACTCGACAGTGAGTATCATGTTGTACTACTACAGAGTTCGCCATTTTGTGCTACTTTAGTATATCCAACAATAAAAAAAAGGATCAGGTGAGATTTTTGCCTTAGGTGCGAAACGGAATGCCTTTGGCCTAGTTCTGGTCGTTGAGAGTCACCGGATAAGATACATATCTTCGTCTTAAATAGGATCATCGAGCAAATACAGGAAGCAGCTGTTTAGTTCTAGGACTTAATCGAGTACGCTCGAAATATGATGCATTCAACGAATAAGATAAGAAGAGTAACTCAGCCTATGCGAGAGTTGTTCCAGATGTTTCGATGGGAGGATGGTGGATGGAGGAGGTGGCAGACGGCCACACCTTCTTATGGAGTGGGGAAGAGGAAGAGGGGGAGGAGGAGGAGGAGGAGGAGGAGGAGGAGGAGGAAAGGATGTGGTAGATGCTGCGCATGCCAACACTCATTATAAACTTTTGCACCAGCATGTCACCGTGTATTCTTTCATCCTGCTCTGAAGGACACTGTGGATGAAGCCGGTAACAACCCTCTAATTGTCGCGTAGGCTTTATTGCCCACCTAAGACATCCCTGTGCTACGGGAAGTCTGCACTTCTATGTAGCACACGTAGCTGGCGGCTTAATAATAATAATAATAATAATAATAATAATAATGGTGTATTTTAGGGTAATAGTCTGTGCCCTTGATGACCCTATTAAAAACGGTACATAAAATATAAATGTTAACAGTACAGCTTACTGCTATTTTGTCAGTAACAGGTTTGTTCACGGAAAACGTTTTCACAGTGCGGGACTGCGAAGGCTGCGGAAGGCGGTGTACATATGAAATTTTAAGTGCCGTTATAAACAATCAGCATAAAGTGCAGTCATTTGCATAGTTTGAGAGGGAACATTTCATGAAAAGTCCGGGATGTGTTAAGTAGGGATGACATCAAGTAATGAAATTGATGGCTGGCCGCAGATAGTCCTGTAGTGAGAGTCGTCGTTTATCAAAGATCAAACGATCCAGCTGGCGTTTGAATATAGTCATTGTATCAGATGTTACTAGTTCACTCGGAAGTGAGTTCCACGGTTGAACAACACGCTGACTGAAGGAAAACTTCCGATGGTCTAGGCGTGTACGCTCCCGCTGGACTTTGTACGGGTGACCGCGCAGGTGACTCGTGGTCGTGAATTCAAAGAAGTCTTCAGTTTTGAGCGAACATTCATGCCCGTGGATAATGCGGAATGTCCATAACAGGTCACACCTCATTCATCTATCGGATAGGGGGAACAAATTTAACTGAATCAGTCTTTCTGGGTAGGACAGAGTCCTGAGACCGTCCACCAGTTTTGTGGCCCGTCGTTGCACCTGCTCTATGGCATCACTGTCTTTCTTCATCCAGAGCATCCATGATGGCATTCCGTATTCCAAGTGCGGTCTGACGAACGTGCCGAATATCTGTGAGAAGAGTTCTGGAGGAAAGATTTTGAAGGCACGCCTAATCCAGTGCATGATGCTGGTTGTAGTGCTGAGAGGGCAGCAAGTTTGAGCATGTCCAGACGCCTAGGTCTTTGTGCGTGTCCAATTCTTTTAGTGGAACCTCATTTATGGTGTACTGATGTTTTGGGAAGCGCCTCCGGCCAGATTCTAGTCGCAAGACTGCACATTTGGATACGTTAAACGTTAGAAGCCACTTGCTGGACCACGCAGCCAGCTTATTAACATCTTCCTGTAGCTTCTACCCGTCGTCAACACAGCTGATTTTTTTCCAGATCTTTATATCATCTGCAAACATGATGCCATCGCATTCAAGGTCTGCAGGACAGTCATTTATATGGATAGGGAAGAGGANGTTTCAGCCGGCGCAGTTCGGTCTTTATCAACGTGGATGAGAAGAAAAGATTGCCTTCCAATACAGGACAGGTAGGCACCTCAATAACCACCTCGAGAAGCGAGCTAGTCCCGGTGATTTGAAAAAAAAGAAGAGCAAGAAGAAGAAGAAGAAGAAGAAGAAGATCTGCACGCACTCTAGAGTCTCTATCGGAGGCGGATAAGTTGAGTGCCATTGGTGACTTCAATGTCCGCGTCAGGATAGACTATCTCCTGGTGGGAGCGTCTAAAAATACACCAGGAGAGGAGGGGGGAGTAGGAGGAAAAGGAGAAGTGATGGGAGGGGGAGGTGAAGGAGGAGGAGGAGGAGGAGGAGAGATGGAGTAGGAGGAGGAGGAAGTATGCAATTCCATGAATCAAACGCATCTGGTGGTTTATGGGCACGGTCCTTCTGTACCATTCCATGCTCCTCTCCTGTCCTCGGCAGATAGTCACTGCAATAACCACCTCGAGATGCGAGCTAATTCAGGTGAGGTGATGCAGCGTGTGTGCTCCGTCAGTACGATCTGGTTATGTAGCCGCACCTGATGGACATTATACTGTTGACTTTCTCAATTATGTTGAGTTGGTGTGAATTGGTGGCACGGTGTTGCTGTGCGTTGCCGTGTGTTTCCTGTTGACAGCCTTGTTTCTTTGTTGCTGTGCCTACCTTTTTCGGCCCAAATGCAGGTGCTCATTCTTGACTTTCGGCCTGTCGTCTCCTTCAAACTTTCGAGTTGGAAGTTTTGGGGTTAGGATTTGGGGCTGCGGATAATGTAAGGATTGGGATTGGGGTTAGGGTTAGAGGTTGGGGCAACTATTTCTCAACCACTCGAAGTACAACCGCGCATTCCAATCGCTTTCCTTGTCGTACAATTACTTGACCTCGTTGCCTGTGTTTTCGCGGCCCAAACTATAAATAACTCTACTACCATCTGTCCCGTATTTCAGGTGACTGGGACCTGTTTACCTCAGGTGCGGCTAGATAACCGCATCCGACTCATTCGTCATTACCGAACGGATTAATGTACTGGCATCTATCGACCAGATCAACACCGTCTTCCCGGACATACAACTTAGGACGGAGAAAGAATAGAATGAGCAATGAACCAGGGCAGTAAATATTAGGCGTCAATTACTGAGACCGAAGGACATACTGGCACGACAGGGGATGTCTGAAGTCATTTGCTGAATCTGGTGCAGGCGTTGGCAAAACAACTACGTCAGGACAAGTAGAGTACTCGTTACGCGAATGGCCAAACACGCAGCAGCATTGGGGAGGGATGACGCCGGCCCATGTGTCACAGCTTATCCGACCATACACAAACACACGTCACATGCCATTGTTGGCATCTCTTTCGGCGTCACCGCCAGAACTGACGTTTCC